GGCACTTACTGGTGGCGTGGTAGCAACCATAAAGAAAGAGGAAACAGGAAATATTTGAAATTTGATAATTGACATTATATATAGACATTTGAAGTTTAAAAATTGACAGTAAAAAACAAAACAGGATTACCAAAAGGCACACCAACAGCATGGTTGACACTAGCAAATTCAAAAGTATCTGAATATGGGTACAGTGCTGTCAAGTACTCACAACTGAAGTGAATGACAGAATCCACACTGCGTCCAAACCCACATACTATATGTTGCTTGGGGAACCTGGGGAAATGAGTTCCAAATCTGAGATGTAATTATAAATGTTGTTGAGGTTGTTGAGCTCAGTCTTTTTGTTCATATTATTGGTATTCCTTTTGATAAAGAACATTTCTTTAAACAACCGTTTTTGTAAGTTGCTTTCAGTACACAAAACTCTAACTTCGGTGTAGTTCATTGTGTGTTTTGTGTTGATGACATGCTCTGCAAGTGCACAGGTGGTTTTATTTGTATTACAATCACTTTTATGTGACTTTATGCGTCCTGATAAAATTCTAGATGTTTGACCAACATATGTCTTGTCACATGTATGACAAAGAATTTCATATACTACATTTGACTTTCCTAAACTTTTCAACAGAGTTTTAATTTTGGAAAAAAAACTATTCGTAGTGGTGACAATGCATTGAGCAGATTTAATATTTTCTCTCTTGAAAACGTTCAGGAGTTTCGGTATTAAGGACTGAAAATATGGTAATGTTTTGAAAAATAATGATTTTGGAGGTATATCTCCACTATTTGACATATTTAAGTTATTATTATTCATGGAATTAATTGAATTATTTGGAAAAATATTCATGAATTTCTGTATTTATGAGTTTACTGAAGGTGATTTCAATTTTTAAGTTTGAAATATTTTTTCTCAACCTGTGATTGAAACTCTACACGGATCGTCCAGTTGTTCCTCCACGGTGGTGTAATAATGTCACGTTACCAATACCATTGGTTACGTGACTTGGAAATATGTGGTACTTTCTACATTTCAGCAAGAACGTCTTTCTGTTTCTCATCGACGCCAACTTGGTGTTCGTTTTTGCCTATGTTTTCATGTATGTAACTGTTTGTAGACCAAACTGTTGTCGGATGTTCGTGAAGAACCCCATTTCTAGACGTTATAAAGCGAAGGGTAGTTTGAAGATGACTGTATCAAAGAACTAAAAGGTATTCTCCTTGAAAATTCATATCCTTGCAAACTTTTGAACAAACTACTTTTCAGCTCCTTTTCCTCAGTTATGAACATTTTTCCAAATAATTTAATCAATTCCATAAATAATAATTTAAATATGTCAAATAGTGTAGATATACTTCCAAATTCATTATTTTCCAAAACATTACCATATTTTCAGTCCTTAACACCGAAACTACTGAACGTTTTCAAGAGTAAAAATATTAAATTTGCTCAATGCATTGTCACCACTACGAATAGTCTTCTTTCCAAAATTAAAACTCTGTTGAAAACTTCAGAAAAGTCAAATGTTGTATATGAAATTCCTTGTCATACATGTGACAAGACATAATATGTTGGTCAAAAATCTAGAATTTTATCAGGACGCATAACGTCACATAAAAGTGATTGTAATACAAATAAAACCACCTGTGCACTTGCAGAGCATGTCATCAACACAAAGCACACAATGAACTACACCGAAGTTAGAGTTTTGTGTACTGAAAGCAACTTACAAAAACGGTTTGAAAAAAATCTATTTTTCCGTTAATCAGCTGCCGCCCCCATATGAACGACAACTCTCAGAAGTTGAGAAACTGGTGCGAGCTAAGGATTAACGAAGTCTCATCTTTTAACGTGTGATTCCTAACACGGTTGCAGAATCATTCCAGCTTCAACCAGATAAATTCTCTCTAGAAAGTATCAGGTCGAGGCGGGAATGTTTGAAGAAATGTTCTGTATCAAAAGAAATACCAATAACATGAACAAAAAGACTGAGCTCAACAATCTCAGCAACATTCATAATTACATCTTAAAATGGGAACTCATTCCCCCAGGTTCCCCAAGCAACATATAGTATGTGGGTTTGGACGCAGTGCTGATTCTGTCATTCACTTCAATTGTGAGTAATTGGCAGCACTGTACCCATATTCAGATACTTTTGAATTTGCTAGTGTCAACCATGCTTTCGGTAATCCTGTTTTGTTTTTTACTGTCAATTTTTAAACTTCAAATGTCTATATATAATGTCAATTATCAAATTTCAAATATTTCCTGTTTCCTCTTTCTTTATGGTTGCTACCACGCCACCAGTAAGTGCTATGCATGGCCAGTGAAATAATTTTAAAATTTCAAATCATTTAAATGTTTAAATTGAATAAGTTTCTGTACTTTTTCTCTGAAACATAAAATTTAATGTGTGACACTTTTCTACACGATGAAAAGTATTAACTTTGTCTTTCTCATTGCAATTCTCTCAATATATCAAAAGGGAAAATTTGTAGACAGAATACTCAAAAAAGGGACAAACCGCACGTGTTTTTGGCTTTTGGCCTCATCAGCGCGGTGCAGCCAATTGCAAAGATGGACAACAACTGATTATCAAAAATGAAAAACTTCACATATGCACGGTGTCACCAACAGGAGTTAACCGCACATTTGTGTTTTCAATTAGAAGATCTAGCATTCCAAAACTGTATATTGGCCAAACAGGAAGAACATTTTCCCGAAGAATCAAAGAGCATAAAAGTAGTTTTGTGAATAGAAAGACCAATTCCACATTTGCAAACCACCTTTTAGCAGAAGGACACGAGTTCAATCATGAATACGATGTGTTGCATTCAGAAGAGAAGAGTTTGAAACTCATTCTTCTAGAATGTTCAGAAATCAGTAGATTCAGGAATTCGGGTAATTTACTGAATGACCAATTAGAATTGAATAACTCTCCGTCACTGAATATGTTTTCAAATGTGGAAAATGGAACATAAGCTCAGGTAATTTAGTTCATTACAAACTTAGGTAAAAAATCGGGTACTTGAAATTCAGGTACTTCAAATTGTAGAATGAGGTATATATATATATAGCATTGAATGTGTAGAATTAGTTATTGAGGCACGCCCGAGGAAGCCATTGTATGGCGAAACACGTAATGCGTTTTTGTAAAATTGTCTAGTGAAAATCACACAATAAAGTGTTTTTAGAATACGTTATTAAATTTTTTGTAGAATGAATCATAGAAAAATAGTGATCCCTAGTTGATGATGAATGTTTGAAATGAAATTCAGTGATAAATAAACATTTTGCATTTCAATTTCCCTGAGAGTAATACATTTTTTAAATTTCAGAATTCATGGAAATGATGACAGGTGACTGATCGAATACATGGTAGGACCATACTTATTGCAACAGTAACGACTTTATATAACAGTTATTCATGTACAATGAAATAATTTTGTCTGTATCCTTCACTTCTGATGATACTTTCATATCTATATGTACTGTACGTGATATATTTATTACCAGACTACGTTATTCCCATCTGAAGGGATACCACAAGGCAAGCAAGACAAACAAGGGTGAGATACCTATTTGATGTACTAATTAACTTGTATGTAGCATATAACCAATAAAAAATTATATTCATTTTCTCTCTTTCATTAAATTCATTACTAGAGTGAAAGAAGTCAAGGGTTTCAAAAAAGTTCAGACATTTTTTGCTTTTTCATGTCGTATATTTTTATTTGCATTATATAGCACCTACACAGTTTATACAACAAAATATCTATAATGAAGGTAAATATCTATACTAGTATGTGGCCCCATTTAAAGTTCTCAATTTTCATTAACATCAGTTACTTGAAGTGATATATCCAATCTACTAATCAGGCTCAAATCATGATCACAAACTCAAGGTAAAATTGAGAACTGTAAGGAATTATAGCATTGTTGATCCTCTGATACTTTACAGAATAAAGGAATTGAATGCGAAAAGTGCACAAAAATTTCATTTATTGGACCAACAGAACCTACGATGATATATAATTATATGAGTATAATATGTTTTACAAGCAATTCTTTCTTGTTTTATATTGGATTCAATAGTTTTATATTGGGCTTCCAGAATGGTAACTATTTTTATCAGATTTCTCTAGAAAAATAAGACATACCATTTATGACATCAACAAGAATCCTATCAAATTATTATTTGTGAGTCATATAAATGAAATAAATTATTTTTTTCAGATGTGTAACGTCAAAAGAATGATATTCTTTTGTCAATCTTTTGATCATGTCTTTTAATGAAAATACTAAACAAGTGAACTAATTTTTCTTTGTCAAATTTATATTAGACATCAAAAAATGATTAATTTTGACCACAAATAAGGTTATGAGACTTTCTAAGATTTTTGTCATTATTTATAAAATTTTCTTCTTCACAAAACACCTTTGTCATATTGTTTGTCTTTGTCATATTGTTGAATTCGAAATTATGTATTTCCAATACTTCAATCTATACTTTATTTTGTTGCATTTGAGTAATTGAGAATTTTCGAACACAAACATTATCATGCTAGTTTTGGCTCAGAAATGAGTAATTTTAAATAGCCGTGTACAATTCCTTCCTCCCTGCTGATAAATTCATCATCTTCTCCACAAAAATGTTCTCTATCCACATCTATTTGATCATACCAAATACCATCGTTCAAATCATCATGGAATATTCAACTGAAAAAATGGACTGCTGGATTTGGTTATGATTCATTGCCTACTCTGCATTAACAAATATGTGTTTCCCTCGTTGGCGTATTTATTCTGATAAAATGTGCCATTGCTGACATTGCTCCATTGGATTGGCCACAGCTGTATTCCATTGGATTAGAGCTTTTCCTCTTGCAAACATATACGATCCCAGAACACATTTTCCTATCAGTTTGTCTGAAACGAAACAGAAAGAGTTATACGTATAAGAGAAACTCTACAAGAAATTAATAGTTGAGTTTTGGAATTGCTATTAAAAATATCTGTAGAAAATCCCCCTCAAAAATTATTGGAGCATACCAAATGATATTCTATTTCCAACAGAAATTTTTGATTATCATGATTTATTTATCTGAGGAAAAATTTCAAGAACAACTGCAAACAAAATATATGTTGGGGCGAATGGGATTGATTGAAATTATCCGGTGATGATATAGGAGCTGTGAGAGAAATAAATAAAAAGGTTCGAAGGAAACAAGAAAAGGGGATGAATGGAAGGTGTGAGAAAAATAGGCCAAATATTGAAATATCTCAAAGGCACAGGTCATTTATCAATCATTATCAAGAATATATTCTTCACATGAGTTTTCATTAGAAATGATTCATGAAATAATGTCGTTTCATATTGGATGGGCTGGAAAGTTCGTAGACCAATACACAGATGGCGCTACTAGTATTGAATCGATTATTAGTTGACCTCAACCTTCAAAAGACATGTGTTTGTGAGATTGAACATTTTGAGTGAAGCAACTTTTGTTAGTTTGAAAAGAATGGATGAAAAGCCATCATGACTGAAAAGTCATCATCAAGCCAAGCCAAGCCTTGGCTTGTATCAAACAATTTGTATCAAACAAATAAATTTCAACGATATTTTTTTTTCAAATACTAACAAAAAAACAAAAACAACCTTGTGTCACTTTTTGTGTGAAAAATGTTTACCTTGCTATTTTCGCTTCTGAATTAAAATCATGAATATTGGTAACTCCGATGGGTGGGACTTTATTTAGTAAATTTCCTCCTCTTTGAAGATCTTTTTTCAAATTTAGGATATCTTCTCAAGCCCCTCTCGATATTTTTCAGAAAGTTGCTAGAGGTCATTCCGAATCGAATGAGTCCTGGATCATAATTTTCGGTGCCCTTGGACAGAAGTTCCAAAAAAAAGATCATGTGATCCAGACTAAAAGGAATGTTACCGACGAAAACTTAAAAAGAGTCCACAAAATAATTTTGAATGACCGCAAAGATAAAGTTGATCAAGATAGCTTAGGCTCTAAAGATATCAATGAAACGTGTAGAACATATTGTACATGGATATTTGGGCATGCGAAAGCTTTGTTCAAAGTGGGTGTCGCGAGAGCTCACAATCGATCCTTATCTGAGTGGACTGCAAGTGGTGAATAGTCGGCTGGCAAGGTTATGGTATCAGTATTTGGGATGCGCATGGTATAATATTCATCGACTATCATGAAAAGGGAAAACCATCAACAGATACTATCACATAGCGTTATTGTAGCGTTTGAAGAACGAAATTACGGAAAAACGGCCCCATTCGCGGCCCTGTTTCATCAAGAATATGCATCGTGTCACACATCAATGAAAACGATGGCAAAATTGCAAGAATTGGGCTTCAAATTGCTTCCGCATCCACCGTATTCTCCAGATCTGCCCCCAGATCTCACCTCAAGACAAAGCTCTCTGGAAAAGAAATTAGCGCCGATGGACAGGCTAAAGAAAACTCGTACTATGAAAATTATATCGAAAAATTGTTTGAGCGCTATAATCTTTGTATCGCTTTCGAAAGTAAAATTATATTGAATAATGAAATCAATTTATATCGATTTTTTTTTTCTATGTTAGCCTATGAACATTCCAGCCCAACTGTTATGACGAACAGAAATCAAACAGTTCTCAGGAAAAGTATCATCATATACGTTTTAACTTTTCCGATTTCTTGTAGGAGTTTCAGAACCTGAAAAATGAAATACACTGAAGTAGTAAAAAACGTCTTCTCTACTCAAATTTTAAACGCAGATATTAAGGTCAAAATGAAGTTCAATCCAAGGTATCATTTGAATTTTTCATACCTTGTTACATACAAAATCTTTTTGACACGACACGCCAAGAGGGCAGCATCCATTTTTTCTGATATTAAGGGGATCTGGAGACACTTCATTTGAGAGATTCAATTCTTCATCAAATACATCAGGTTATACGGAATATACCCTTTTGTATGGATCACCCTGTTTGAGGGTGTCACATTTTAGTGGCACGTTTTGACCTGTTGTTCAACTTTATGAGAAATTCATATCGAATTCAAAGATATGGCTAGATAAATTGTGATATATTCGAGTGATAAGGACAGCATTTGGATAAATTGTACAACCGGTCATCAGATCAATATAATACATCACAATAATATTCATATGAACTCAAGTGTATTTTATTAATTTTTGATATAATTTTAATACCTTATTTATTACTCATAGAATTTTTTTAATTCATATTATTCAATGATTTTAGGCCATGATAATTTATTACTGGCAAATTATCTTATTCTCAATATTTCATACACGTTATTTCATTTTCATAATTTTGATATCCATTTTTTCAATTAACTTATCCAAAAGGATTTCATACTTTAGGCAGTCAATCAGAGACAACATTCAAATTGAAGAATTGAAAGACATTTCAAACCAGATCCCTCTCACTATCTTATATATAAAGTCGGAATTTAAATATTATCCCGTTTAACAGTTCGAGAGGTAGAGGAGAAGACTTTTACATTCTCTTTGTATGGCAGTTCAATATTGAAACTGCATCATTTGAAGTTCCGAAAAAATGGCATCATCTTCTATTCAAAATAATCTACATATATAGGTAGTGTGCTCCATTGAGTTTGCCACAAATAATAACTTTTTTATTAATTGCACTATCGAGATTTGAATACCATGGACGTTAATGAAACTCTTTCGAATGCACTTCAAATGGCTTCAAGTCAAACAGTAAAGAAAAGTCAAATAGCATATAGAGCAGGTCAAAAATATTGAACTCGTTTGAGAATAAAGTGCTTTTTCTTTTGGAAAAATACAACAAAATGCTATTCAGAAAAAATTTTCTGGATTGAAAGTTATATTATCGGGAACGTATTCAATTTTTTATTGTTTAATGGAAAATTTTGAGTTAGTCTTGTATGATATATTTTTCCAGTATCGTGAATCATTATATATCAAAAGTAGCAACAATCAACTCATGAACAATGAGAATAAAAACTTCCTATGATCCATCAACTTGTGCTTCTAAAGTCACGGAAGTTATCATCCATGAATCCATATATTCCTTTTTCAATGATACGACCATCTAACGACAAACCTTGGTTCAACAAAAATTGCGAGCAAGTTGTCGCCTCCAAAAATCTCGCCTAGCGGCAGTGGCGCAAAAATCCCACTGCCGAAAACCGAACTAGGTTTGTTAATGCTCGCGGCAGCTGCAAACTTAGAATAAATGAAAGCAAAGAACTTCACAAACTCTGATGTTCTTGGAAGGTAATGCTGCCCAAATACTCTTCCACTAGGTTCAAGTAACTGTGTCAAAACTATTTTTCAGGTTCTTGGCCGCGGTTGGCAGGTTTTCATACCTGGCGTTTCGTCTGCTACTGCGGTAGATACTATCGAAGGCGATGAGGTAATGATCTGAGTTGAGAGAAGCTCGAGCACTTCGACCTTTACTTTTTGTCTACCGCAGTAGTAGATGAAATGTTGTGCGTCAGAACCTGTCGACCACTGCCAAAAAAAACCCGAGAAATAGCTTTGACATAGTTATCTCTTGAGTAGAGAAGACTGGATCCTCCGGGAGAAGCAGATATTAAGAGCAGATAGTTGTTGGTTC